TAAATGTAAAAGTTCTGGAATTTGCAGTGTTTTATTATTTGGATATGGGGGAAACTCCAGAGGTCGTTAAGAATTAGGTCTCCCAACAATTTGCTGCCTCCATCATATCCTTATAGCAATTCATTAAATCTCTAGCTAGTAGCACAACCACAGGACCGACTTGCCTTCACACCCACAATCAGTGCCCATTAAATTCTCCATCTTATCCAGGATGAAGAATTTAGAAGGCCAAACGGACGAGGGCTTTTGATACTCCTACTGCGTAATTCCCTAATCTTAAATCATCCATCCTTGCAATATGGAGTCGGTCGGTCAGTAACCAAACCAGCCACGGATGCAGAAACCGAGGAGGGGGTTTATTTAGGACAGGCGTTTTAATGTTTTTCTATCCTCCGATCAAATCACACACCAAAGACTGGGAGAAGAGAAATAAAATTGCTTTTATCGTCGGTTTCCGAACGGAGCAAGCAGATGGTTGGGGGGAGGGGGTAGCATATTATCTCTCCTTTGGCCTTTAAAACTTAACACACCAAGTAAACGGGGAGGGAAACCGGATGCTCGTTTTAAAAGTGGGAGGGGGGGAACCTTGGAGTTGCCTTACAAATCAAGAGGCCAAAATGGAAGCAACGAGAGAGGGAAAAAAAAAAATCTTTTCCTGGGGGGGGGGGAGAACATGATTGAGGCGTTTAAAGCTGCCTTGCTTCTAGCCGGAGGGAGCTTTTCCAAACCTCCTTCGCCGCCTCGCCTCAACGGCCAAACCCCGCCGCGGCCTAAAGAGACCGCGGCTTTCGCGTGAGCCGCTTCCTCACCTGCTGGTATCGGCCGCCGCTGCTGCTGCCGTTACTGCCGGTCTCGGCCGCCGCCATAGCGCTGGGGAAGAACCGAGCGAGGGCACTTGCCTGGAGCGCCGAACGCTTTGAGGGAACGGGCGGAGGCCCGTCGGGGACGGCTTGAGGGCACTTCCGTCCCCCGAGGGCGCTGTCGGTGCTAGGCTTGGAGGAGGAGGAGGAGGAGGGCTTGACACTGGAGAAGCAAGGCGGCGGCAGCGGCCACCCGGAGGACTCTCTGCCGCGATTGCTGCCGAAGGCCCGGCCCGGCCCCTCCCTCCCTCCCTTCCAAGCCGTCACGCGCTGCCGCCGCCTCCTCCTCCTCCTCTTCCTTAGGTTCTTCCGCTGCTCGGCGTTTTCAGCCGCTCAGCAGTCAAAGGGGAAAATCCACCGGACCTCAGCAGAGGTTGGTGGAAACGATCCCCAGCAAGATCTCCTCAGTTCCGTCTGGTGATCTTTTCCCATCCGAAGAGGGAACTATCTAGAGAGACCAGCGGTCATCAACTGGTGGTTTGTGGAGCACTGGTGGTCCGCGAGAAAATTTTGGTGGTCCGCAGAAAATTTATTTGCATTTTTTATATTGCACTAAGAGAAGAGGAATCAGGATGATTGGGAGCCTGGAGACTAAAACATATGAAGAATGGTTGCAGGAACTGGGCATGGCTAATCTAGTGAAGAGAAGGACCAGGGGAGACATGATAGCAGTCTTCCAATATTTGGGGGGCTGCCAGAGAGGAAGGGGTCAAGCTATTTTCCAAGGCACCTGTAGGCCAGACAAGGAATAATGAATGGAAACTGATTGAGAGATTAAATCTAGAAATAAGGAGAAACTTTCTGACAGTGAGAACAATCAACCAATGGAACAGCTTGCCTTCAGAAGTTGTGGGAGCCTGCTTGGCCTGGGGGTTGGACTAGATGACCTACAAGGTCCCTTCCAACTCTTATTCTGTTAACTAAGTGCTGCGCCCAGGGAAAACTGGCATCTCTTTCGAGGAGCCCTTCCCGAGATGGACTTTTCAGGGACATGATTGGATAGCCTTCATATATGGCCCGGTTGTGCCCATCCTTGCATTTGACTCTTTTTCCAGAGTGCATGCCCGCATTTAAAGGTAGTCCTTGACTTTCATTCATTTGGTGACCCTTCAAAGTTATGGCAGTGAAAAAAGGCAGTTCTTTACATTTTTCACACGTAAGACTGTTGCAGCAGCCCCATGGTCACTGATCCAAATTTGGATGCTTGGCAACTGGCATGTATTCATAAGGGTTGTGGTGTCCCAGGTTCATGTAATCACATTTTACAACCTTCTGACCAGCAAAGTCAATGGGTAAGTCAGATTCATTTAACAGCTGAGGTACTAACTTAACTGTAGTGTTTTACTTAGCAACTGAGGCAAGAAACGTTGTAAAATGGGACAATTTAACTGCCTTGCTTAGCAAATGGAAATTTTGGGCTCAATTGTGAGGATAAGTTGTATCTACCTGTAAAGGTAGAATTCACTGTAGAGCTCCTGAAACACTGCTGTTAGGGTGAAAAATAGAGCTACTGCATTAGGCTAACAAGTGACCATTTTCAGGCCCAATCTCCATCTGTCTGAAAACTGACAAGAATTTAGTGAGGTAAATTATGGGAGTACCAGCCAAGTCATTCATATGAATATGAATGAAGTGGTCCATCTGCAAAACATCTGCAAAAGATCAAGAATATTTTATATTTCATTTTTCTGCTTATAATGTATTTTCTAAGACATTAGAAAATGCTTCTCTCTTTGTATATCTTTGTTGCATTTCACTGGGAAATGGTACTCAACACAGTGAATACAAATTTAAAAACTAAAAATATAACTAAAGACATGCAGACAAGTTAAATTAATATCCATCTTGGCAAAAAGCAGGTTACATATAACTTTTAAAAGATTGCGCAGCTAAATATTGTCTATCAACTGAACATAAAAAGATATTTTGACATTCCTGGCAAGCAATAGTGTCTGAGCAGTTGCCCCAAAGCTCTGTTGTTGTTCAGGGTGTGTCAGTACCTGAGGGTCAGAAAGTTACATGACTATTGAGTGGCTTAGGTATATTCCTTTGATGATTTCATCTTCAATAAACATTGGTTTTTATTTTGCTAAATTTGTTTTATTTTAATATAGTATTAAAGCTCTTTCCTGTGGCATTTGTGAAACATGCAGCCAAATAATTTAACATTCTACAATCTTGTATTATTGTCAAATAAGTCTACTATGAAGGCAGGACTAAATGGACTTTCTTTGAAAATTTTAAAGTTCAGGTAAGCTTTTCAAAAAGAAAGTTAATGGCAACCTGTTACCTGCTGCTTAAATGTTCCCCAAATTTCCACCTTTTCCCCCAGACTGACCTATCTGATGTGCAAAATGCAGGATATGAAAAGTCTACAGAAATTCAAAAGTATTTGTACAGGGATAAAAAATTGGAAAACCTGCAGCACTTTAAGAATCGAACAATATTGTTCAATTGGCCACGAAATGACAGGAGCAGTGAATACAAAAGCAGGGGAAAGTCTTGAAATAATAGTGTTTAAAACACATTGCTGACTGCTTCAACAACTATACAAAGATTTTGTGGCAAGCCCTATTAGTTTTTAAGAAAACCAACTTTTCTGCCATTCCTGGACCAAATGCAACAAATCTGATATTTGACTTAATGGTTTATTGTTAAGTCTGATAAAAAATCGTAACAGTTGACACCCATGACTGAACACCCCTGATAAATGTCTCTCAAGGGCAGGAGTGAAATAGCAAGCTACATTCTAAAAGCCTTTTCCATCTCCCTCTTATAGAAAGATCATTGTTGAGCTTCAGGCCCTGCTTGGCCCAGGAATTGCCTAGCTACTGGGCATAACTGGTAACTCTTGAATTAAAATCTCTGATCAGCTATGGAAGCTTATAGGGGATTTCATTTACCTAGGAATAAGCTTCAGTGAGTGGTTTTACTGCTGTATTTAAAAGCACCAGCCATTTCCTCATCAGTGATTTATTGTATTAACCAGCCATCACTATCACTGTTCTACCAGCACAGCAATGGTTATATGACACTATAAAAAAATAAAAGTAAAGCCGTCCAGCTGGCCTCAAATTCTAGTGGCCTTATGAAGAGATCCATGCATTTTCCTTGAGAACAAGGTAGGAATGGTTGACTATTTAAAAGAAAGCCGAGATTTTCAGTTTTTGTTTTTAGAGACACCTCTTACTTGCAAAAAGAGCATAACCCACAGAATTATATTTTTTTTCCAAGGAAAACAGAACATATAATTTATTTACATTATAGTTCTAATGACAACTATTCCTATAGGTTGACAACTTTTATTTTGGTTTGTTTTACTAACATTATAAGCCAGTCTAATCTTCAGCACCAGGGAATATCAACCTCCTCCATAAATCATGTTCCTTTATTCATGTGTTTCCTTTTCTTTGCATAATAAAATAGCAGGTCCCCATGACAGACACCCAACCACCCTTTCTTATCCAGGGAGGGACTGCAGAGCCGCCCAACAAGCAAAATTAAAAGGAACTGAATCCTCTTTACAGATGTTAGGGAAGAAATGGCTATCCTACAGCCAGTTATTCTGTCCTCCCACTTTATGAGATTTTCAGCAGTTTGAAAAAACAAGCAACAAGGAGACTCAGAATGGGAACTGATCCCAAAGGTGCTTTTTCAAGAGGCAAGTGGAGGTTTTTTTTGTTTGGTTTTTCTTTGAAGCCATTTGGCTTCTCAGTCAAGAAGTTTCTTCAGGTCTGAATGAATGAAGAGTTGAAGAAGTTTCCTGGATGAGAAGCCAAACGTCTTCAAAGAACACCCCCACCCCCCAAAAAAGTCCAATTGCTTCTTGAAAAAGCACCTTTGCGACAACCATGGCCTGAATGACTGAGAATCCCCATAGGCAACTTATCTACACGCCCGTAAAAGAAGACAGGACGATGGCCAAACAAAATCTGGATGCCCCCTAACTTTCTGGGAAGGGGCAAATCGATGAGCCCGGAAAGGAGCACCGTTGTCGGAGGTGGAACCCCGAACGCCCGGAGATCCTTCAGATCCTTTAGTCAGAAACAGACGAGCAGAAGCCGAAAAGAAGGCGCGACGACAAAAGATACAAAGGTTTCCGCTTGCGCAGGGAGGAGGAGGAGGAGGAGCGCAGGAAGTCCCCGGGGGCGGGAAACTCGAGGAGTGCTGCGAACTCAGCAGTTTTTTATTTATTTTTTTCATGTGACGGAATGAGGTCATAAGAAGGCGGGCCCAGTGGGAGCGAGTGGCCGCCGAGGAGAGGTGAGTGGCAAGGCAGGTTGCTCGGATCGGGGCCTCCGGGAATTGCTTCCCGTGCACCTCGTATTCGCGGCGTTTCTGCATAGGCGCAGGAGGACTTGAACCTGCTTTAAATCCCGGGGGTGGCTGCGCCTCTTTCCCACCCCGGCCCCTTTTCTGAGCGCGCTTGAGAAACTTCCTTCCTCCTTTGCTCCGGCTTCCAGCTTCCCTCTCTTCGTGAAGCTCGTGATTTCTTTCCCCAATGATCCCCGTTCGGCCTTGCTTTCCTTTAACGCAACCTCTATGCAACCGTATTATTAGAAGGAATCTGGGAGCACTTTTTCAGCCTAACCTATTTTACTAAAAGGTCCAAGCTTTTCTGACTCACAACTTGCTTCAGGGCTATGAGATTCCCTCTGATGTTCAGATTAACTCGGAAGAGCTCAACAAACACAATGGGTGTTTAACACACGACAGCTTTCAATTGATAAAATGCTGGTAATCTGTGACCTACAGAATAGAATGGAATGCAATAGGAATTGAATCTTTATTGTCACTCTGAATGTACACTAATCGGCATACATTACAATGAAATTTGGGTGCATACAGCTCTCAAAGGGTCACACCTCCAACATACACTGTATAACCATGACAGGATAAATAAATACTAAGTTATGCATATACCCACATATATGACACAGAAGCAATAGTCTAATTCAGATGTATGCATAACCACCGTCTCCTCTCTCTTTCACCATAGCTCAATTTATAATCCTACCTCACTTTACCTGTCTATGCATCTGATCACAAAAATCTTACTAAAATATACGGTTTTAGTCTAAAGTGCCGCCAGACCCCTTCTGATTTTTGGATACCATAACACAGCTTTCCTCTTACAACGTCAGCAACTTTTACAGTCAACTTAATCAGGCTCATTGCATAAAAGACTTTGCTGCTTTTCTAATCCATTCATTTATGAATGAAAGTTTGATATTTAATCAATGCAGATGATAGCTGTAAGGTCTGTATTTGCAGCAAAAGTCACAGGTCTGGATGATATTGCTGAAAACCAATGGATTTTTATGGTTTAGGTCAGTGGTGGCTAACCTTTTTGGGCTCCCGTGCTGAAAATTTTGCACGCGCTCGTCTGCCAGCACCCAGAAGGCAATGCGTGCGGGCAGGCGCCCCCACCCCCGCACATGCGCACCAGATACCTGAGCAGTGGGGCTCTTCCAGGCGATCTCTCGCGTGCCAGTAGAAGTGGTTCTGCGTGCCACTTCTGACATGCGTGCCATAGGTTCACCATCACAGGTTTAGGTTTTCAAGGAGCACTGTCCATTCCGTGTAATGCATGAAGTATGAATCTTAATTACAGGGAAGAGGAAACAAGTTGCAGAATATTCAAATTGCAGATAATAACAAAAAGACCAGAATGCCTCCTCATCAGCAATCAACACTCAGATGAGCAGAGATTAACACCAAAGTTAATATAAGATCAACAATCAAGAAGCAAATCATACATAAAGCAAGAAACTGCCAAACAAGCTATCAGTAAACAACCCAACCAAAGAACCACCAAAATCACTCCCATTACACTGACAGGGCAAGCCATTAGAACGTGTATCAAACTCGATCGTGCCATATAATGTCATGTGACGTATTGCGACATTTTTTGCCTTTGTGGAGCCGGGGTGGGTGTAGCCTGCGTGTGATGCATCCAGCCAAGGGGCCGCCAGTTTTACATCCCTGCATTAGAATATAAAATGAGAGGAAACGTCAGTCTCTCGTAGCACTGATAATGTTACCTACTTGGGTAATGAAAAGTCTGCAGTAAAAATAACTAAGCTGAGGGAGCACCAAAGACCCTTCACAGATAATATTATGCTATTCTTTAATTTTTTTCAGAACAATGAACACAATATCTGTCAAGTATTTGGGGGAGAAAAAAGCTTTTAGATGGAAAAATATCTGAGTACAATACAGGTAGTCCTCAACTTACAACAGTTTGTTTAGTGATTGTTCCAAGTTACAGCGGCACTGAAAAAGGGACTTATGATCATTTTTCACACAAGCAACCTTTGCAGCATCCCCATGGTCACATGATCAAAATTCAGCCGCTTGGCAACTGACTCGTATTTATGACGGTTGCAGTGTCCCAGGGACATGTGTTCCTCTCTTGTAACCTTCTGACAAGCAGAATCAATGGGGAAGCCAGATTAACTTAACAAACATATTACAAACTTTACAACTGGAGTAATTCACTTAACAACTGTGGCATAAAAAGTTGTACAATGGGGCAAAACTCACTTAACAAATATTTCACTTATCAACAGAAATTTTGGACTCAATCGTAGCCATAAATAGAGGACTACCGGTAATGTTTACATTTACATAAATAGCCAATCCTGCCTTCACAAGTTGTTTAGCCTACAAGTGAAATGTATAATCTGTGCATTCTTCCAAAATTGCAGGTTACAATGAAGCTTATAATTCTACAAAATTACAATGAGGCCAGTGAATGGGCTGCAAAGTACATTAGGAACAGAATAATCCAGTTTAATCCAGGACCAAATAAATATTTCACTCTTGGACTTCCCACTGGTAAGTTACAAACCGAAGTTCATAGGAGGTGAGCTATGGAGTCATAATTTACTCTGGTCTAATTCAGATAAAAGACTGTCTCAACAGTATTATGATCAAGCTGTTTTTCTTTTCACAGGATGTTTGTCACAAATGATTATTAGGTGACTAATATTTTGGAAGGCAGTTTGTTTTCTCACATTTAGAAGAAAAAAACTTTACATGGAAATAATCTATCGAGAGCTTGCAATTTTGTTTGAACACACGGACATTTAATTGGGATACAAGTTATTTTTATATACTTACCCCTAGACTAATATCTGTCATGAACATTCTCACAATTAAATGCCTGTAGCAAGTTTGGCTAGATACTTTGCTAATGGGCTGAGCAGACTTTACGTATTTTTTGACACTAAAGTTTGATAGATCACTAAAATAGTAAAAAATAAAACATCCACCTCTGTATTAATAGTCCATACTATTTTTATCATAATAACAATGCTTGCATTGCTACAATGATAGGTGGAATTAAATGCCTTTTTAATTTAATTTTTAACCCGCTATTCCCACTACTCCCTCTATTGTTAATCATTCCTGTGACATGTTCGCTTTTTCCTCCATAATATTTAATAATTTACCTCAAGCCATACTCTGTGTTGCTGATTGGAAATTGAATTGGAATGAAATGTATTCTTTTTCAAAATGCATGTGCCTATCTTTTCCAACAAATTATGAGGCATGTTTTAAGTTTTCCTTTTCTTTTCATTGTTTTTTACATGCAGTCGTCTGATTTTCAGAGATTGACTGGCCAAGCTCTGTAGTTTCCTTGGCAAGAGTTTTCAAAACTGGTTTGTCATTTGCTCCTTCCAAGGGGTTAGAGAAAGTGACCAGCCCAAGGTACCCAGCTGGCTTTGTGCTGAGGCAGTCTCCCAGTTTCTAACCTGATGCTTTAACTACTTCACGAAACACCTTCCATAAAATCAAATAATTTAATCTTGGATATTAACTGCTGCTTCATTTCATTGGTTGTTGGTGTGGGTCCCTTGCTGATGTTTCCTGTCAGATTAATAAAGTTTATTGTAAGTAAGAAACAGGATGATATTGTTATTTCTCTGGCCCTGTTTCAGGATCACTGTGTCCTTTGCCATTATCTGTTATTTTAATATATTCTCTTGTGTTGTAGTATTGAATTCTACCTCTGTTTGAATATCCTACTACAATATCCTACTACATTTGGCCATTTATCATTTGCATAGTAAAGAACTCATTAGGTAGTAACACTTATCCCAAATTCCTATCGACTACATCATTCCATAGGAGGTATAAAAAGAATTATATTCATTTCATGAATTACATGATGAATACATGCATTCATCAGCAATATTTTGAAGAATGCTTCACCATTAGCAACAAAGAAAGGGTCATGGCAGTGAATGCCATTGCATTTTTGAAGATCTTGAAGCTGTTGCTCAGCTGAAGAGCATGTTTGAGCCATTGTTTCTGTAGTAAAATAAACCATTGCAGTTGTCAGTTAAACCTTTTCTGTAGCACAACCTTTGTTTTCATGGATGGTGAATTGCTTTCTTTTCTCTCTAGGAAGTACCCCATTAGGGTGTTACAAAAAACTGATCGAATATTGTAAGAATGGAGATCTCTCTTTCAAATATGTGAAAACCTTCAATATGGATGAGTATGTAGGTGAGTCACCTTCACATTCAAAGCTGTAGGGAGGTGTCATCTTTTATACTTCCTGTCAATAGATTTTCTTTATTACATGCAGATAAAGACGAATTTATTTCTATATTGTAGTTTGGTGAGTCAAAACCTGAGTTGTGAACCATAAGCTCTTTTAGCAGTAACCCATCTGAGCAGAAGTAAACCATTCTCTTAGCAAGTATACAGATAATAGTACTAATCTATCTTAAAGAACTGTTATATTAAATTGTGTGATTATTTATAAAAAGTAGCTATAAGATGTAGTTACTGAAAGTGTAAGCTTCTGAATATTTTTCTTTTAAGGTGTCATCTGTGAAAAACAATAGGTAGGCAAATGTAGCAGGAAGAAACGAAGCCCTTTGAATGGTTAACTCAGCTAGGTCATCTAACAGCCTTCAAAGCAACTTGAGGATGAGAAAGTCCTGAACTGACACTTTTTGACTCTACTGCAGGGGTCTTCAAACTTGGCAAGTTTAAGACTTGTGGACTTCAACTCCCAGAATTCCTCCTCCAGTCATGTTAGCTCAGGAATTCTGGGAGTTGAAGTCCACAAGTCTTAAACTTGCCAAGTCTGAAGAGCCTTGCTCTACTATTTCCAGACTCATGTGTAAGAAGGCTAGGATGGTTCTACTTTCTTTGATTCTGGTAAAAATTGTTGAGGGACAGGTTAAGAAGCAGACTTGCTCTTCTCCTGCCCAAATTGTTTCTGTGGCAATTTCTGAGGAGCAATTGCTTTTTATAGGATGTAACTACACTTGTTCAAGCCAGGTTTAGAGTAGAGACTGTTAGGAATATAAGTCACCTAACAGCTATTTCGGATGGAAATATATAAACCAGGATAAACATTTTAATACTGTATCTTTAACAAAATGCAAAAGTGTAATTGGGTATAGTTTCTCAAAATGGCCATAAGATGGAGTCAGAAACCTGGGTTGTCTTAGACTTAGTCTCAGAAGAGAGTGTGAGTGTATCTCTGTTTCTTTCTGTTGGAGAGTATTGCTGTTCTTCATAATTGACTGATATTCTTGGATTTGATGTAAAGTCTGTTACTGAACTATTTTTGACACTGGACTTTGTTACTGGATTATCCCTGGACTGTACACTGACTGCCTTACCTGTGAATGACTTTGGACTGTGTTTTGAACTTTGCTTAAATCTTTCTGGAAGAAAAAACGTACATTTACTGTACAGTGTATCTGTGTGCTATGTGTGTATTATTCAAACACTTCTCTCAAATATGTCTCCCTGTATGCACTCATTCTCCTAACGGGGAATTACCTCAACAGAGACTTTTCATTTATTTCTCAGGATTGGTATAGGGAAAACTTGTGGAAAGGATTGCTGTGTATCCCACCTTGATCATGGTGGGAAACAGATTGCATTATTATTTTTTATATTTTTAGGTCTATAAGAATTTTCACAGCTCAGGTTTTGAGTCACCAAGCTACCATGTAGAAATAAGTTTGTTCATCTGTTCTAAGGCATAATATTTGTTCATCTAGTTCTTAGTGCAGTTCCAGCTAGCAACTGCTCTGTAAGCTATCTTTTCTAATTTGTTACCAAATCACTTTTAACTGGAGTTGCCAGGGGCTAAACCTAAAACCTTCTGCATATGGAACAGGTAGTTTTCCTACTATGTTATAGCTGTCATAAGCTGTCCTTTCAATATTACAGATGGAAAGATGAGACATAAATAAATGAACTAAAAGCAATTGCATGCTAACATGGTATTCTGTCAGGTCTTCCAAGGGAACATCCAGAGAGTTACCATTCCTTCATGTGGAATAACTTCTTCAAGCACATTGACATCTCTCCTGAAAACACTCATATTCTGGATGGGAATGCAGCCGACTTACAGGCAGAGTGTGATGCCTTTGAAGACAAAATAAAAGCAGCTGGAGGAATAGAACTTTTCGTTGGGGGTGAGTATTTAAAGGCATCGGAAGCAGGATTGAGGTTATAGAGGGGGGACTCATCACAGCTTTCAGACTACTTCAAAACCCAATTTTCAAGAGAGATATTTTTGACACTGCAAATCAGACTCAAATATCAAATCAAATGATATAGAACAAGTCTGTGAGCAGGCTTGTGGTCCTGTTTCAAGCTCAGTTAATCTCGGTAATGTTTCTCAGAATTAAACTCAAAAGAGAAAACAAGGATAACAATGATAATAAGAACAGGGTTTTTTTAATGAACAAATGTATAAGCAAGATGAATTGGAAATAAACTGGATCTTGTTGAAATAATGATGCAGGTACAAACAAATAAGGCCATAATACCGATACCATTTGTGGGAGGGTTTGTTATGGAAATAGTTGTAGTGACTGAGGTGTTACACTGGCATCAGGGAGATCTACCTGAACATTCAACTTTGATCATGGAGGTTCACTGGTTGACTCTCACCCCAACCTGCTTCCCAGGGTTTTGAGGAAAAATAAGAGAAAGGAGGGCAAGTACTTTCTCTACTGCTTTGAGCTCCAGAATAAAAGGCAAGGTGTAAAATTAAATGAGATATTATCAGGGAAGATGAACGTTTTTTAATTGGCCATGAGCCTAAACTTTTATGAGCCGACAAATTGAAATATTGCATGTGGGTATAAAAGTCCTTTTGTGAGTCTTTTGGGGGGTAGGTTGAATACCTGGAAAGGTTCTGTGATTATGAGCTTAACCCTGAATTTGGAAATCCATTTGGCTGAAAAGAGCAGCCAGAGTTACATTGATCTGCATCATTAGTTCTAATCCTCTTTCCAGAAATGTTGCTAATTCCTGTAAGAGAATGTTCTCATTTCAGATGTTTGGCAGTAACATAAACATTTTGACAATTACTGTCTGTATTATGGCCTAAAGAAACATTCACAACCATCTGTTTAAATGATGCACTTATTATTCTGCAGTACTTAATCCTAAATCATATTTACTGTTTAGCAACTGTCAATCAATTATAATAATTTCAATGATTTCCCCTACAGGTATTGGTCCAGATGGTCATATTGCCTTCAATGAACCAGGGTCAAGCCTGGTATCCAGAACTAGAGTCAAGACATTAGCTATGGACACAATATTAGCGAACGCTAGATTCTTTGAAGGTGATCTTTCCAAAGTGCCCACAATGGCTCTCACAGTTGGAGTGGGTACAGTCATGGATGCCAGAGAGGTTAGAAGCATAATAGCTACTTACAGAAAAGAAACAGCAGGGGGATATGGAACAAGCAGTTTGTCTGAAAAGATGAATTCTAGGTTACTCGGTATTATAGAATACTGGACCTGGAGGAGACCATGTTGGCCATGAAGTCCAATTCCTTTTCAGTGCAGAAATCAAAATTAAACTGTTCCCTATAATTCACTGTGCAGCCCTACTTGAGTAGTTCCAGCAAAGTGAACCTCATTCCAGTAATCAGCTGTAATATGAAACTGCTATTACTGGGAAGTTTTTCTTACATTTTCAACCACAACCTATCTTCCTAAAACCGGAATCCTTAATTCTTTTCTTTTTTGCATTCCTGGAAAATGGAGAATCTTTATCTTCTGTGTTATATCCTCCCAAGTGTTTGAAGAATGCTATTATATGTCTTCATTGGCCATTTTCTCAAGGTCTGCGTTTCCATTTCTTTTTATCTTTCTACATAGGACTTTCTAATATCCTGATAATCCTCACTGCTCTTTAAATCAGTTCTAGTTTGTTGGAATGTGGTTTGGTACTTAATATGGAGTGTATTTATTTCAAAACAAATCAATGTCCTTTCCTATTTAGGTATCGATCAGGTAGTGTGTTAAGGTGCTAATTGGGGTCTACACATGCATGTAAACATTGAGCATGATGCACAATTTAGAGAGGGAAGTTCCTTTGGGTCCCTTTCTCTGATATTTGTAGTGGGTAGGATACAAACTGACCATTTGCCTAGTGATGACCATAAATGGGCTGCTTTTCTGATGTTTCCAAACATATTTCTTGTTTGTTTTATTGGAAGTTTTGTTTTCTGTTGCATAACAAATAAGTCTATGGAAGTTAAGAAACTTACCAGTCATATAGTACTTGACTAGAACGCAAAGCCTCTGAATGAAATTTTGCTGTTTTACAAAATTCCAAATAAAAAGCTAAGTATATAAAATATTAGATTCATTATAGTATTATGAAACTATTATATGTAGTCAGTTAATACACTGACACTATTTTTGGAACAAGGATTTCGCAGACCTCTTAAATCTTCTGAAACCATTGCTTGTAGCTCAGTGCATTATCGTTGTTGATAAGTAAAACGGTAAGAGAATTGATACTCATCCTGATTTTTTTTCTATATGCTGTCCATTTTTGCTGAACTGATCAGCTATAACTAGTTTTATAAGTCTGCTAGGTAAATTCAGCAGGTTCTAGTTCACCAATGTTTATTAGTCCATTTGGTCTTGCACAGTAGAGTTTCTGCTTAAAGGACACAGAATCTGTACAATTCATAAATTAGCTCCTACTAGAATTACAGATTATAAACTGATATAACCAAAAGCAAGCTGCCGTTGTACAAGCTTGCTATAAAACATGGAGCACTCCTTTTGTTTTTGATCATATTTCCCACCCCCACAAATTCTACTTCTGTAAAGTAGAATTCTACATAACTCTAACGGTTACAACATCCTCTCCCTTTTATTCTCTTGAAAAAGTTTTCAGATGTTGGTGAAACATCTTTGGATATAACTTAGTTCTTGCAGATATCAGTGTCCTATCTAGTTCAGGGTTGTTAAACTCAAGGCCCAGGGGCCAAATCTGGCCCGCAGGGTGCTTAAATCTGGCCCACAGGGCCACCCTAAAAATAGCGAAGGACTGGCCCGTGGTGCCTCTGCCAGCAAAAACAGAGCTGGGGAAGGCCACAAGCGGCCCTCTCGAGGTAGGCTGTCACAGCCTCCCAAGCTCCGTTTTCACTGGCAGAGTGCTCGGGCCATCACAGGTGCCCCCGACTCAAGTGACATCGAGCTGGCCACACTCACACAGCCCCCAAAGTCAAACACAACCCCGATGCAGCCCTCGAAATCAAGTTTAACACCCCTGATCTAGTTATTTTTCCCAACTTGAAATACATGCCTACAGTTGAGGATAGCAAGGACCATTTAGTATTTACGATGCTTGTCATCAAAAGGCTAATTGTGTTTCTTGTATGCCTTGTCGTTCAGGTGATGATTCTGATCACAGGAGCCCATAAAGCATTTGCATTATACAAAGCAATTGAAGAAGGGGTGAACCACATGTGGACTGTTTCCGCATTTCAGCAACATCCACAAACCATCTTTATATGCGATGATGATGCTACTCTGGAACTTAAAGTAAAAACTGTGAAGTATTTTCAAGGTAAATTGTTGTTCAAATCTGAGAAATAGTCTATAAATGTCTAGAATATAAAATGGCATTAATGCAGCAGTAACGTTTAGCAATTCACCTCTACAAATCAATGCTGCAAAAATCCTCCATGAAGCTCTTTTGGCCACAGTTAAAATGTTGTATCAAGGAGCTGCGAATACAATTTGGGACTGTCATGCTTTAAATACAAGGAGTACCTTGGGAGATTTTGACTTGTAACACAAACTTGTCTTATTGGTTTTTCCACTATTTCTTAGCATTTTCTTATTGAAGAGCTTCTCCCAAGTCTGTAAGTGCTTTTGGCTTATTTAGATTAACATTTTCAGTATTGCCCTTCTGTGTTATGCTTTTCGGAAATTGGATTCTTTATTTTTTCAACCTGCTCATTTTTGCCATTTTAAGTAAAATGTTTATATCTTTTACCCACCCACACCCATCAAGCATGTCTTCTTTTTAAACTTTCTTGAGACAGAATCCAATTGAAGGGAAGCTTTAAATAGATAAAGGGGTATGTAAAAACATCACCAAGGATCTACTGTAAGTCATTAAATGCATAATAAAGGAACAAAAGGCTATTTATGTCTCTAGTATAGTGGTGTTTTATAACAAGTACAGATGTTGGTGAAAGTTACACTGAACCACCACAATTATTATCTTGGTGTTCACCAACAATGAATAACTAAATATCTGCAGGAAGTTACAAACAGGTATGATGGTACCAGCTGGCTTCACGTATCATGTTAAGGCACTGCTTTTCTTAGCCAGCACATTAACAGTCATCTTTACTGTTAATGAAGGAGCTTGCAAGTGGCTGTTTATAAAAATGTTTAGTCTCCTCAGTCATTGTCAGCCTTGAAACTGAAGTTCAAAACACTATTGTCTTCAATTTTCACTTCATTTCCTATTAGCAATGGGATATATATACACGCATATATATAGGGAGTTGTTGAACTTGACCCTATCCAGCCCTAGTCGCACATCTTATCCATTCCTCCACATTGGTGCTTTATCTTAGAATATAAGGATTGCATTTTCCTGTTCCTAGACACAACATTCAAAAATATTAAGAGGAAAAGAATTAAAAAGAGAGGATGTTGGAGTGATGCCTGTCTGCATCCAGAAAGAAAACAGTCATCCTTTCGTATCAAACAGAATCAGCATTGGGACACATAAAGGAAAGGCAGACGCCAAGTCTCTCCCTTTCCAGAATGAAGAAAAGCGAACTTAAAAAAAATAAAAATAAAGCTCAGAACACTGGATAAATGCGAGAAACTGCTGTGCCTGGTTCTACTTTTGAAGAAACAAACTTTTGCTTTTACTAATTTAAGTCAAAAATAAAAGGGGATGAAAGGGAGCAATAAAAAAGAAGTAAAAAAAGAATGCATATTTACAGACACATACGCATATCTTCTGAAATTCAGGCTATATCTTAAAAATAGATACAGGCAAAAGCTTGTTAAAATTTATTTTAGTTCTTTGTGCTTCAGTCCAATATTTCTTGTATTTTTGTACAGGCTCCATGACTTTATGTACTTCATTTTGTATGCATATTTCAATACATATTTTTTTCTAATCTGACATTTTTTTTCATGAGGAATTTTTGATGCTTGATAAATCTTGAAGCCTGTGGACTCTGCAATAGATAAAGTGCTGTTTTGTGGTTTTCTGAATTGGTTTCATATTTATAAGGTTAATATTCTAACCTTGAAGGTGATTTTATATTGGAGGGGTTGTTTAACAAAGTTTTATTTTTCTGTATCTCATTAGATTGTCCTATGTTTGATATTTCTAATCACGTCTCTGTTTTCTATAATGGTGCTTGCTGTAGCAATGCTTTATTTCATTTTTATATACCAGAAATACAGCCAACTGTGGGAATCCCTCCTCCCAGTGCACACTTTCATATATACACAAAGTTAAGAGTAGGATACCAGGTTGGATATCTTCTTGGAAGATGGGTGGTGGTAGTAGGTACTATCAAGTTGCTAGTGATACCAAATACATTAGGCAAGGCAGTATAGGGACCCAGAGGGAGAAAAGTTTGAGGTCTTCAATTCACTGCCCCACAGATTCCAATATACTTGGTACAAGTGTAAGTTATTACTTGATAAAATATGACATCTATGTAAGAATTGAACTATTTTTGTTTCCTTTAACCAGGGTTGATGCTTGTTCATAACAAACTAGTGGAACCGCTCTACAGCATGAAAGAAGTTGGACCAGAAAGTCAATCTGAAAAAGCCTACAGTGACTAGCTTCTCTGAGCAGCTGGCTAAATAGAACTTTCTGGTACCACAACAAGAAGTTGGTGGAGAGCAGTCTTTCAATATACAAAATACAGTATTGGACTCAATTATTGAAAAACATCTTTTTTTCTACCAGTTGCAAGAGTAGGAGTGGATACAACTGCATCACGCAATTTCAAGTAACTCAGGACTAATTACACATCAATTTCCTACCATCTTAAAAAAATGTAAAGCAAATGAGATAACAGCAACCTCATTTTCTTTAAAGAAAAAATAGTTTTAAGAGTTTCTGGGATGGGAACGTTAACATTAGAATTGTAATTATGTGTAGGAAAAAGATCTGCAGGCTATGAACTTCTCATTAAACACATCCATGTTTATGAACAATTTGGGATATATTTATTTTGTTAAGAACTGGAAACAAGAGTTGGAAAGTAGCCTTTTCAGAAACTGGGGGGGTGGGGGCAAACAAATGAAAAGCACTCTTTCAGACAATCTACTGCACTTCAACTCTTAATGCAGAAATATCAGACTTTTCTAAAGTGGAACAATTATGTAATGTGGGGAAGCATCCACTCTTGGTTCCTGTTTTTTATTATTACCCAAGTTATCTTTTCCTAATCTGATTGAGTTTTGCTAGGAATTCTGTGAATTATAATTCAATCTGGAAGATGGGAAGTGGGAAGCTTCTAAGGGTGCAGGAAAACGTACTGCCCTCTTCCTTCTCTGTTCTCTAAGTGGCCAGCAGAAGGGTTCTTGGCATTTATGCCTGCCTTAGAAAAAAAATTCATTTGCTTCCAGTTTGTAGTAGAAGTTGAAGTGCTAACTTTTAGCTATAAAAACTCAAAAGTTGGTAGGAATCTTTTTATTTCCAACTTCTATATATAACCATAGAGTTCATGCTTAATACATTGCAGATAGGAAGAGCAGACAACTTCATGTCATCTTGGCCTAAAAGTATTTCTTTCTGACCTCTTCTGGACAAGCAATTTTTTTTTTTGCAAATTATAATGGAGCAAACAACTTATCAACCAGCGAGATAATCAAACAATGGATCTTTCTATGGACTGACCTGCCAACAGGCTCCAGCAGTAGTTTATTTTGTGAAAACTGAAGGATACATACAAAATGACTTATGGCTAAAGGCAGCCATTTGCAAATATCTGTTTCTCAGACAAACTAAGTAAGATCAGAAGACCAGAAATTTGCCCACAAATCCAATAGGGTGTTGTAGAAGCCTCAAAGTACAGGTCTATTTTTTGAATCTACAGTCATCTTTTGTATTGAACCTTGCCTTTTAAAGTTCATTTTCTATCCATGTCATGATAAGTAGTATCCAAGAAACTCAGGCAGCATCATTATCCATGTTAACAGGATAAAGTGTTAAGAATTGCAGGACCTGAAGAAATCACATGTTTTTACCCTTATTCTTTGTTCCTAGGACAAGGACAACAAACAGTTGCTTACATTCCACAATTGTTGTTGTTCTTGGAACAGGTTTTAGTGATAATAGCGCTAACTAAAAAGAGAAGCACATTGTGAAATTTTAATGTGCTTGATTAAACATTCAGTGCTTTTGAAAATTAAAAGACAACATCCATGAAATTAGTGGTAGCAAACAAAAGCAGTTTTCTAGACATTCTTGAGCTGATTTCTGCATCTCATCTATCGATAATCAAAGTAACTTGAACATGCATGGTACATCTTCAGTTCTTTGCATTTGATTCTGGTTAAAAATTAATCATTTCTCTTCATTCCAAAATTAATCCTCAATTTCCATAGCTTGAAACAGCCTGAAAGAAAAGAAAATTGAATTTTAAACAAGAAAAAGGGCGTTGGTACTTACCTGATACGCCCGTTCTCTGTGAGCTGTTCAGAGCATCCAGAAGTGGGAGGTGCTTCAGTCTCTTCTGGAAAGGCTGGGCTTAAAACTCCGGGATGCTCCTCCTCCTCCACGGGACACCTCCTTAGCGTCCCCCAGTTTTGCGAAGACTGAGTGCCAAAGTCCAGGACTCATCACCTAATCTAGATCCTTACCGGAACGGAACCCCACCAGACAGAAAGAAATGGGTGGGGCTGGATGCTCTTCACAGCTCACAGGGAACGGTCGTATCTGGTAAGTACCAACGCCCTTTCTCCCATGAGCTGTTCAGAGCATTCAGAAGTGGGACATACCAAAGCTTGGCCTGTCCTTAGGGAGGGACTCCATCTGGATCGAAATCCACTCCTAAACTCTATGGACCCTCTGCAGGACTCTTCCGCCAAATGAAGCGTCCGCTGAGGCATAGACATCAATTTTATAATTTCTGACAAAGGGCAATGGTGAAGCCCAAGTCGCCGCTCTGCAGTTTTCGTCTATGGAAGTCCGAGTGGCCCATGCTGCTGATGTTGCCGTACTCCTTGCTGAGTGGGCTGTAATGCCCTTAGGAATGAGATGGACTGGCATTCATAACTTTTAGCTATGGTGGCTCTCAACCATCTACCAATGGTCGTCGACGACACCCTGTGTCCTAAAGTGGATGGGTTGAAGGATAGGAATAGAGCCTCAGATTTTCAAAATGCCGCCATGCGGTCTAGACAGATGCTTAACGCCATTCGAACGTCAAGTCGATGCCATTGATGCTCCAGTCTATGAGATGGTTTTGGACAAAAATTTGGAAGCACCAACTCCTGTGCTCTGTGGAAGGCTGAATTTACTTTAGGGGTGAACGATGGATCCAATCTGAGAACCACGCTGTCCGCATGAAACACGCACAGATCCTTTCTCATCAACAATGCTACCAACTTGGAAATCCTCCTTGCTGATGTGATCGCAATTAAGAAGACCACCTTATATGTCAGGAATTTGAGACTAGCAGTTCTTAAAGGCTCGAACGGGCCAATTGTAAGTGCAGTTAACACCTTGTTGAGCTCCCAAGGGGGATAGCGGTGAATTACAGGAGGTCGTAAGTTTGCAGCACCCTTAAGAAAGCTGCGGATATGTGGATGGTGCGCTATGGAACGAAGGTCACCCCAGGATATCACCGAGGCTAAGGCCGCCACCTGTCTGCATAAAGTATTTGGAGATAGGCCCTTGGTCAACTCCTCCTGTAAAAAGTCCAATAATTGTCCTATTGATGGGGCAGTTGGGTCGATCTTAGGCCCCCCAGCACCAGCGACAGAAAGCGGACCACGTGGCCTCGTATATATGATTTGTAGAGGACTGTCTGGATGCTTGTATGGTGGCAATGGCATCCTCTGAAATCTGTTGGGTCCTTAAACAGTTCCGCTCAACCTCCATACAGCTAGGCTAAGCCATTGTGGGTCCAGGTGAAGTACCGGCACTTGCAAGAGGGAAACCCTCGACGGTGGAATTTTCCAAGGCTGTTCTCTTGACAGGTCCTGTAAGTCCGCGAACTATGTTCGCCTGGGCCAGTAAGGGGCGACCAATATCAGTTCCGCTCATTCCTCCAGTAACATCTGGATCAACCTGGGTATTACGGGGAGTGGAGGAAACGCATATAGAAGTCCAGGAGGCCACTGACATCGCAGAGCGTTGACGGCCTCCGCCCCCTGAGTCAGGTACCTTGAAATATACTGGGGCAATTGGCCGTTGAGGGGAGAGGCAAATAGATCACCGGTTGCCCAAACCTCCGCACTGCTTTCTGGAAGAGAGACGGGTGTAAGCGCCACTCTGCCTGATCTATCGAGGCCTTGCTGAGCCAGTCCGCTTGTGTGTTTAAGGCCCCTGTTATGTGCTCTGCCTTGAGCAAAAACAGATTGGCCTCAGCCCACATGAACAACCTGGCCGTCTCCAGCATCAGAAGTTTGGAGTGGGTACCCCCGTCTGTTTACGTGGGCCTTGGTTGTGATATTATCTGTCAAGACCAGAACGTGGCGTGATTGGAAAAGGAGTAGAAAATTGCGTAACACCAGATGAACTGCTCGCAGCTCCAACAGGTTGATGCTTTGTGATTGTTCAGAAATAGTCCAACTTCCCTGTGCAGTGTGGGATTGGAAGTGAGCGCCCCATCCTACCAGGCTGGCATCAGTTGTGATTGTTGCCCTGTAAGGTTCCTTGAAAGGACACCCCTTGTTTATCATGTTTTCTGACCACCAGCGGAGCGATCGGAGAACATTGTGCGGTACCTTTATCTGGACGTTGGAAGTGGCTCTTCCGGATCGCTGGAAAGATAGCAGGAACCATTGCAGATCTCTAGAATGGAATCGAGCCCAAGGCACAATGGAAATACAAGAAATCAGTTTCCCTAACAGTTGAGACAGAACTGCCAGGGAAACCCTCTTTAAGGCTCTGATCTCTCTGGCCAAAGACTGGATACTATTCAACCTGTCCTGAGAGAGAAAAACCTTGCCCTCCACATTATCTATCACTGCCCCTAAATGAACTAACCTAGTTGAAGGGATCAAATGGCTTTTATCCCAATTTATGGAAAAGCCATGACCTTGAAGGGTCTCCAGAGTAATCTTGGTATCCAAATTTGCTTGATGTCTGGAAGATGACAAAATTAAAATATCATCCAGATAACATTGTAAACAAATAGATTTGATCCTGAGGGAGGCAGCCAAAACCGCTAGGACCTTGGTAAAAGTCCTAGGGCCCGAAGCCAGACCGAATGGTAGGGCGATATATTCGTAGTGCCAATCACAATAGCAAAATCTAAGGTATTTGTAGTGAGGTCTAATTGGTATATGTAAATAAGCCTCTGTCAGATCTATAGAGGTCAGGACATTGTTCTTTCTGATGCTGAGCAGAATGGACTGGAGAGTAGTCATTTTGAATTTTCGATAAACCAATGATTTCTTCAGACGTTTGAGGTCCGGAATTGCCCGCCAGGCCCCCGAACTCTTTGGTACCACAAGCTATAGAGAGTAACAGCCTTGACCCCGTTGTTCAGGTGGGACCTCTCTAATGGCCCGAATATGCAGAAGATGATTGATAGCCTCCTGCATCAACACTCTTTTAATGGGGTCCATGGACCTCGGGCTCCTAATGAAAAAGTTCGGAGTGGAGGATTGAAACTCTAGCGCCAAACCTAACAGAGTCCCTGACCCAAGCATCAGAGGTGGAGCTGTCCCATTGATCAGCAAACAATTTTAGCCGCC